TCCTCCTCCTCCTCCTCCTCCTCCTCCTCCTCTCCCTGCACCCCACACTCACCCCTGCCCGCCCTGCGCTGCCCCAGCACACGGGGGGGCACCCAACGGGCTCAGAGAACACAAGAAACTTGGGGAATTTCTTAGAAGTTTCCAATTCCAAAATTTCACCTTTTAGAAGTTCCCAAAGCATAGAAACAGCCCCTTTTTTGGGATCTCTTCGGGAGCAGGTCAGGACAGAGCTGCATGTTGAGAGCAACACAACACAGATGGGCTCCTCGATGAATTTCAAGTCCTTGTGGAAGGCAGGATGCTAAAAACACCTAAAATTAATTCTGGGCACTTCTACCTGCATTGAATTATTCTAAAATATACTAAATATAAAGTATTAATTATAATAACTATAATAACTTACTGTGCAATATAACACAAAACTGCCTTGAAATGCTCTTTACAGAAATGCCCTAATATCCCAAACACAGGAAGAAAAAAATTACATTAAAAAAAACAAGCTGTGCTGATTCCAGGTGTTCCTGCTTTAGGATTCATGTGTTTTGTAGGCAGAGTTATTCCCAACTGCCAAATTATCTGTCTGCTCCAGCTGCAGGGATTGTCTCTGCCCCCTGCAGACACAAGGGAGAAGTGGCCACTTCCCTCTGCAAAAACCTGTGGTGTACTGGAAAACACACAACACATCTTCACATTCTGCTTTTTCGGGTTTTTTTAATAAAATTTGATTTTTTTCAAATAAATAAAATAAAGGAATGAGTGTTCCTCAGCTCTCCAAATTCCTGCTTTTTAAAGTACGATGCCCCCAAAAAACACACATATTCCCCTACACAGGTGTGAAGTGAATTCGTCTTAATTATCACAGAATCATGGAATGGTTTGGGTTGGAGGGACCTTAAAACTCCTCTCATTCCACCCCCTGCCATGGGCAGGGACACCTTCCACCAGCCCAGGTTGCTCCAACCTGGCCTTGGACACTTCCAGGGATCCAGGGGCAACCACAGCTTCTCTGGGCAACCTGGGCCAGGGCCTCACTCTTCTCCAAAGCTTTTCTGGTTCTCTCCTCCCTCCCAGGAGAAGTAATTCTCCCTGTGCTTACACTGCAAGAAAACTCTCCAGAGTTTCAAAAGCAAAACATATTCAGCATTTAAACCTTCTCCAGCCAAGTAGGTAACACTGGACCTTCTCTATTGCTCTGTGCATCAAAGGAAGAATTATCCACAGGGTGAAAAATAAAGAAGAAAAACGTAAAACATAATGGCACCTCTGTTTCTTTGGGGTTTAGACTTTCCCATTCATCTTCCCCCTGTAAGGAATTACTTTCACCAGAAGCTCATTCTTAAAAACACTTAAAACACAGGCAAAGCATCACACCCCAACAGCCAACATCTCCAGCCCTCTCTCCACGTGTTTGGTTTTCCTTCACTGCATTCAGCAGACATCCACCTCGTGGAGCAAAGCCCCTGGGCCTCATCTCACCCCATCATCGTCCCCCAGAGGGTGGTTGGCACTGAACAGGCTCCCCAGGGCAGTGGGCACAGCCCCAAGGCTGCCAGAGCTGCAGGAGGGTTTGGACAACGCTCCGAAGGAAATGGGAGATTGTTGGGGTGTCTGTGCAGGGCCAGGAGTTGGACTGAATGATCCTGGTGGGCCCTTCCCAACTCAGGATACTCTACAAGAAAGGTGGAGAGAGACTATTTACAAGGGCCTGGAGGGACAGGGAACGGCTCCCACTGCCAGAGGGCAGGAATAAATGAGATACTGGGAAGGAATTGTTCCCTGTGAGGGTGGGCAGGCCCTGGCACAGGCTGCCCAGAGAAGCTGTGGCTGCCTCTGGATCCCTGGAAGTGTCCAAGGCCAGGTTGGACGGGGCTTGGAGCCACCTGGGCTGGTGGAAGGTGTCCCTGCCCATGGCACAGGGATTGGAATAAGATCTTTAAGGTCCCTTCCAACCCAGGCCATTCCATGATTCTTTGATTTCTTTCCTGACTGAGAAGAATTTCACCCTCTGGATATCACCAGGAAACACCACATGCAGGTCCAGAGTGGTTCAAGCCCCATCTCACCATCTCCAGGCTGCAAATCTCAAAGGAAGCCCAGAAGCCAAACTGGGCCAAGGTCAGACACAAAGGTTGTCTCCAGAGAAAGCAGTTCCCTGAAGGCTCTCCAGCAGCTTTGTCCAACAACCGGTTTTTCCTTACGCTTTGCTCCTGCTTTCACTGATTTTATTCCTCTCAAAAACGCTGCTGGAGTGAGAGAAACCCTCGTGGGCTCCCCCTTGGTGACACTGAATCCCACAGTGGGTTTGTGTGCTCTGGAAACCTTGGATTAATGGTTCTTCCATTAGGCAACTCACCCTCAAGATGGAAACAAATGGAATAACCAAAATAACCTTGGTTTAGTGTAAACAGGTGGTGTGAGCAGGAAGAGCTCACACGTGCCATTCCCATGACACACACACAGTTCTGCCCATGGACAGCTCAAATGCTGGGGGAAGTTCATCCAGGAGCTCATCCATCCTTCAGCCAGGCCTGGAGAGCAGAGGCAAAATCCAGGGCTAACTTACCTTTTTTTAGTTCCCTTCCTTTTTTAAAGTCACCATATTTGCTTTGCACTGGTTAGTAAAAAGATGCTAAGGAGGGAAACGCAGCAGGAAAATGCTCCTCCTGGTCAAGGGTTTCCAGGATCACCCGGGGAAGGGAGAGGCCACTTGCTGAGCTGACTTAAAATGACAGAGCCACAGAAAGAGAAGGAAAAGAGAGGTGGCTCAGCTGGGAACTGAGTCAGGGAGATGCAACACCACTGCAAATGGAACTGCTGGTGCTGCAGAGTCACGAGGGTTACAAGCAATACCATCCAGCTCCAGAGCCAGTCACACATGGAGAAACACAGACCCAGCTGCTCTCCACAGAGTGCACCATTCCCTGCAGCCTGCAAGAACTGGATTTAGGCAGGAAACCTCTTTCAATCCTCCCCGTGCATCAGCCAGGTAACTGGGATGGCACGACTGATCCCGTCTCCCCCTCCAGGGAAATGAGCTGTACTGCTCCAGGAGGAAAATGCTGCCAGGAACAGAGCACACCCTGCAGCAGTTCTGGGAAGCAGGAACACTGCCCTGGCTGCAGGTCACAGCCCTGAACCTGGGCAGCAGCACCAGCTGGGCCTGAGAAAACAACCAACCTCCTCAGAACCACAGGAGCACTGAGGCTGGAAGAGATCTCCGAGGTCACCGAGTCCCCACCTTGTCCCATAGCCCAGAGCACTCAGTGCCACATCCAGCCCTTCCTTGGACACCTCCAGGGATGGAGACTCCAACACCTCCCTGGGCAGCCCCTGCCAGTGCTGGACCACCCTTTCCAGGAAGGAATTCCTCCTGATATCCAACCTGAACCTCCTCTTTAAGGAGGACAACAGTAAATCTACCCCCGTGACTGGGAAATCTCCTCCTCCGGCATCCAGGAGCCTGTTTTATAAAGTCTGAACAACTTTTCTATCCCCTCCATCCTGTCCAAAGTCAGTGCCAGCACCTTACACCACCAGGTCCTTCTCCTGGGTCTAAGGGCTCTGTACAGCCCTCCCTCCTGTCAGGAGCTGAGGGGTCACCCTGTGTGCCATGTCACCACTGCATTCCCCTGCTCCTAAATACAACACCTACCCCTGCCCTTGATACAGCTCTGTCAGCAATTTTAGCTCCTACCAGTACATTTGGGGGAGAGAATCATAAATTGGGTGTTAATCATCCTGTCGTGCTTTCAGCCCTCCTTGCTTTCCCTTCCCTGGTCCAGCTTTAGTTGTAAATGAATATCTGAGTTTCTCATGAATGAGTTACTGCCAGGGGGAGAGCTGCTCCCTGAGGAGACTCATTTTAAATTGGCAACACTACTTAAAGCTGAATTTTTAGCTGAAGCTACAAATCTAATAAGTGAGGTCAAACCCCACTGGTTATCCATCTCCAGGAACAGCATCCCTGCCAACATAATGTTATTACAGTACCATGACAAGTCATTTTACATGGAAAAAAGCAGGTTCCAGAGCGCATCCATCCTTGGAGAAGTGTCTCAGCACTTGTCCCAGAGCGTGCAGGGCTCATTCCTAGCACAGCCTCCTGGGGAAAGCTGGAGTTGGATCCATGCTCAAATGGTTTCCCACTCACCCCAGGACAGGGTTCCTGCAGGAGAGGCTGGAGAGCCACTGGCAAGGTGAATACATAGTTATTGAATACATTCAATACTTGACTATTCTGGAGACTTGGCTTTTGATAAATCACTTCTTTCTGTAGGACTTAATTCCAGGGTGCCACACAGAGGCAACAACTTATTTTCCTTTTATTCAGGCCCATGATGCCTCAGAGCAGGTTACACCCATGATGACAAACGTTATTTGGACATAAATATTTAAGTGCTGATGAATAAATATTCCAGCAGTGGAAACCCAGGGGCCTTCCTGAGGGAAGGGGTGAAATATCCTCATCCCAGAACAGCTGGGACCCCCAGCAGTCCCCCCTCTGCTGCCTCCCAGCAGAAGCAGCACTCCATGCATCCCACCTCTCACCGGCAGAGCCACTGGAAAAAGATACAACTTATTATGCAACAGAGATTTTCTTCAAGTAAAACTAAAAGCTGAGCAGGATAGAAGTGGCATTATATCATCTGGAGGTTGATTTTCACTCCCTGGAGTGACAATTTTAACTTAAAGACTCCTGAACTCCACCAGAATTATGAATTTCCCAGGCTGGATCCAGGGAATAATCCCGAAGGATTATCAGAGCCCATTCCAGAGCCTGGAGGAGCCGAGTGCTGCAGGAGCACAAGCACCACAAGATGCCAGCAGAGCCCTGCTGGATGAGCTGCTTCCAACCTGGCATGTGGGTGGGAAGTGTTTGGGGTTTCCCACATGCCATGAGCAGCCTGAGGGCTCTGCCTGGGGCTGGGGAAGGAGCTGAAATGAGGGAGAGGAGCAGCAGCTCTTCCCAACCAGCCCCACCAGAGGAGTTGACTCTCCTGCCCCAACAAGGATTGTTCAAAAAGGGTCTGGCTGGTAAATCCCTCTCTCCTACGTGATCCCATCAAGGCTGGTTACAAAGTCAAGGAAAGGAAGCAAATTCTGGTTGACACAGAGGTGGTTGGCCAAAGGTTGGACTTCATGATTTTGGAGGTCTTTTCAAACCAAAATGATTCAGTGACTCAGTGAAATACCCTCAGCACCTCTGAGGCCAAGCACTCTGCAGGGACTGACTGCCTTATGCAAGAGCTGGGGAGCCCCAGGACAAATCCTGCAAATCCATCAGCTGTCTGAGCTCAGTCAGGATTCCAGGGGAGGAACATGCCAGGAGAGGGCAACCTGCTCCTGCTGCATCCTCAGAGGGAAGCAGGGAGCAAACCACCCTGTGACTGGAAAGAGCCTGAGAGGAAAGGCCCTGGGGGTGCTGGTGGCAGTGGCTGGACACCAGCCCAGGGGTGCCCAGGGGG